TGTTTCACATGATTGTGTGTCGTTGAATTTAGATAAGAGAGTGTTGAGAAGTATAATGGATAGATTTTGGAAAGTTTGTGTTGATACCGACTGATCAATTTTGTGTGGATATCGGTATTGACCGAGTTTGTTGGCTTATTTATTAAAGACAATCAACGTGAATGGAAGTGCAGATAGGATAAGAAAACTAAAGCATAACTCACCACTGGATATTCTATCACTCTTTGAACGTCATCTGTGACCCTTTTCTCTGTTTCCAGAATTAACCGGTTGAATTATTGTTCTTTGTCGGTGTAAATGTCAAATTCCATTGTTAAGAATTGATCAATATTCTTCATTTATCACTAAATGTTTCACAAAATAAACTGGCTTATGTTCCTTTGTTACTTTTACACCTCGATTATTACAAACCATGCTAGATAGTGGCTTAGATGAATTAATCTGTTAAATATATATTTATTCATTAAGGCAGTCTAGAATATGACGGATGCCCTTTGTCTGATTCAATGGAATAACGCACCTGGCGTCTAATCAAGTCAAAAGTCTGTCTTGGTTACTTGGTTATTTGTATATGTTAGGATATTCACCAAATATCCTAAGAATACTATTTTTAGAAGTGCAATCTTATTGGTCGATTTCTATTGGCCGAAATTATGATCGTTCTTACCGTCAGGGTCAAATACTTCAATGTTACCTCTTATTGGTCATCTGGACGGTCAATGTCATTCAAATGTCCTTCTCTATTGGTCGTCCTAAATTGTCAATGTCACAGACGTTGATGCTTTTTCTTATTCGACCTTAGTGTATAAATACGCGCTATCTGGAAGACTTAATAATTCCGTTTCCCCTGCCTACTTCTTCTGTTTACGACCCAATAAACATCTTCCTGCCACGGTGTTACGTTCTGATTTCTAGGAGATTTGGGAAAGCCTTTGGGTCGTTTTGTGATATTTGAATTGGACGCCGTTAGGACTGAAGAGTTACGTAGCCGCGTTTACAACAGTATAATGTCAGTGTAAATCGTAATTACAATCAAGGTGAATCAGAAAATGACAACAGTCAATCGATAAACAACCCAACACAAAATGACCAGCTCAAAATGTCTGTTTATGCCAACCAGTGAGATGCGAGAGGAATGAGCGAGCGAACCCCGATTACTAATGAGTAATATAGTCATAAAATGAGAATTTCACTCCGTGTGATTGTTCGATATTCCCATAGAATTCGCATATCCCTACTTTTGTGATCTCTCTAAATTAACACCTCTCGATGTCCTGATGAGCTACTCTGTGTGCAACAACTATCCTTAATAACTTTATGTTCAAGCAGTCCACCAAGGAGAGTTGGTACGTGATATGGAAATTAGTATCAGTCGATTTGAAATGAGGTTATATACGGCATATTTTGTTTGATTAGACTATGGTAACGAGATCTCATAGCCTACTGGAATATTTTGATTTGTCTACAATTGTCAAATGTAATTAACTAACTCAGTAGTAGTAGTAGTAGTAGTAGTAGTAAGATGATCATATGTATCGAATTATTTTTGTCCTTAAATTGACCTGATTATTTTTTTTCTGTCTCTACTATGATCTATAAATAGCAATGTGATCAATTTTGCAGAGAGAAATACACATTAGCTTTTTATGAATTGTATGCAGATAATTTTAAATGAGTTTGTGATTGACAATGATTGATTGTCTTTTGTGTTGGTGCATGCATGATATGTGTGTCTTATGGACGTGTGGAAGTCCCTGGTGTCTGTTGGTTGACTTTAGATGGTTGTGACTAATGAGACTACTTTAGTTTGGATATGATTTCATGGTTGAATGTTTAGTTACCAGTCTGTGTTAAGTGTGAGAACATGGTACTGTGAAAATAGTGTGCCACTCACTTTTTGATTCGTTGTATTGTGCAAGTGTTATGAATGTCCTCGTTAGGACGGTGAAGAAAGTTTGAACCTCGGGTGAATGGTTGCAGTGGAGTTTTGTTCTCTGATCTGGATGTTTTGATTGAGGAGTTTTCGTTGTTCTTCTGAACAACTACATCGTCAACGCGAATTTCAGGTTACGAAGTAAAGTATTCGAATTTCTCCGTGTATGACTCATAGCTTGTGCTGTTGGCCTCAATCTTGATATGTGGTGAATTGTTGGATGCTTGGTACTCAAGTCAATCAGCAAACACGTTGACATTAAACCAATTTATTAACCTATCAAAAAATTCATGGGCAAACATAGGATCGGGAAACGAATTACCGGGGGATACAATCCAAATAATGAGGTAGGCCAAGGCAGGTGTAAGGGCAGTGACAACCAATCAAGATCGAGTTTAACGGAACAAGGTACGAATCATACATGGAGAAAATTTGAATACTTCACTTCTACCTGAAGTTTGTGATGATGAAGAACAATGAAAGCTCCTCAGTCAAAACATCCAACTCAGAGAATGTTCTTGACGATGGGAATTGTAATACCGTGTTTTGATATGGTTGTGTTAACCTCAGTTTGAAGCTGGCTTAAATTAGGTTTGTTTATTGAGCCAGTTGTATTTGTTAGTTATTGATGAGTGTTATGAAATGATGTCTCAGTCAAAGTGGCGATTATGGATTGTAGATAGTTTTTGTGACAGCATTATTTATATGCACAGAAATCATTCTTCTAATGATTTGATCAAGTAGCTTGATATATTAATGAATGTTCCATGTTGCCAAATCAGACATTATTTAACATGGTATTCGATTTCTTTCTACTTTTAATGACCGTCGTAGCTATTCCTCTATCTGATTTCCTTCCATACGTTGTCAATCATGCAAGAGTTCTATTCTCGTGTAACATGAATCACCGGTTTACTTACTTACTCCTGTTACCCCCAATGGAGCATTGGCTGCTGAGCAGTATTCTCCAACCTACTCTGTCCTGAGCCTCCCTTTCCAGTTTTGTCCAATTTCCTTTTTGATATTCCCATAGAATCCATACATCTCAACTTTTGTTATCTCTAAATCAACAGCTCTCAGTGTCCTGATGAGTCAACCTGTGGTTGTTATTTATGGTACTCTGTATCACTGGCATGCATGTCGATGACACCGTGATGGTAAGTTTTCACTATGAAGTTGTGAAAAGTTTCGTTTGATGGAAAAGGTGACCGATCAAGTTGCTACAAATGATCAGCGTCAATGTAACTAACTCATACATTAAATCAGATTCGCCTCAGTGTTTTTTTATCGTTTCTCATGTTTTTGTGGTTTTCTGATTAATTGTGGTTTGTTATTATGATTATTGTCTTATAGTCGAAACCTTTGCCCACTTTGAAAGATGCAGATTTCCTGACAGATTTATGCAAAATACATATTGGTGAAGAATCTAAGAAGAAGGTGTTAAATACACTGGAATGTGATATACAAGTAAGTGATTGGTTGGTTGGTTGATAGATTGATTGGCTGATGCATGTATGTGTTACCATTGATTGGTTGATGTTGTGTGGAATAATTTTCCAACCATGTGGTAGTTTGTTGTTTTCAAAAGATGTCTTACAACTGTAATATTATATCTTGTATACCACCAGTTTGAAATGAAGTTAAATCATTCTGTGGGTCCATTCATTCACCGATTGCATGTTTGGTATTGTGTGGGTGAATGTGTCGAGTTTCCCGATGTTATTTGTATGATAGTTTCATGTTTGAATCGTGACTGGACGAGCGACGTTTTTCGATGTAGTGGTAGGTTGGAAGGAAGTTAGGGGCGGCAAAATTAAAACATGGCACAATTCCATCAAGTCACTGACAAGTGAACTGGGTTGTGTTGCAAGGATATAGACCACTTGGTTAGGGTCCGGGAGATGAATAGTAACCGATGGTTAGAGACCTTGAACGGAATGGCTCAAAATTGTTCACTGAAATTCTAATCTCAAATCCTCATAACCTACATCTTTCTCTTCTCAAATTTATTGTACTGGATTGTACTCCTTGAATAACATATTCAAACCCTAATCTTCTCCATTACCGCTAATACTTACACTCTCTACCACTATGTGATTTGAACTGACAATTGCGTCTCTGTGCTGATGTGGTATGGCGACCTGAACTTATGTACTTACGTACGAGGTTCTACGTTGCAACTGACTGACTGACTGTGTTTTATCTGGTTGTTAGCAGTGAATTGCACACTTGAAAACAGCTTTAAATTAACTGTGTCATCCTCATCACTGGTACCAATGGTCATGGTGTATTTTGTTTACGATGTGATTAGCTGTATTTTACTGTTACTATTATGGACGAATCTTCAGTGTTGTCTGACGGAGATGTCCCACTAAGAAAAATTTCAGTGATTTGTCCTTTGTGAGTATACACTGTGCTTATAGTTATGTGTTTTTGTTGATCAATGAAAGTGATGTTGTGGTGCATGACCTTCTTGACAAGGTTCATTTCATACATTCTATTTTGTTTTAATGAAGTACCAGAGACCTTGATCTGATGAGTATATCTCAATTGAAGGTGGATTGTGTAGTAGTCGTACAATAGTTGAAATGGTGTGTTGTTAATCATGTGAGAGACATTTTATAGTATTCATCTTCTCTATATCAATTAATCCTAATTGTCGACTACCTGGTTGGGGTCCGCGAGATGATAATAATCGATGGCTAGAGACCTTGAATGACATGGCTCACAATCGTTCGCAATGGCGCCAGTGCATTTATTCTTTGTGTTCTCTCAAATCCTAATCTTCTGGGTTCTTCAACACCTCTAGCTTTTAATTTCTAAACTTATCTCATTGAATCATACTTCGTGAATAATATCTTCTAATTCTAACCTCTCCGATTACTTCTAATACCTTTACTACCTCTTCTACTATTGGATTTGAATTGACAATTATATCTCTGTGCTGATGTGGTATGGCGACATGAACTGATGTACTTACGTACGAAGTTCTACGTTGCAGCTGACTGACTGACTGATATCAATTAATCCACTAATGAGGTGAACATATTTTCATCATCGTGTGATTTAAGTGAAACCTTGAAAAGTTTGTTTGTTGTCGCCTCTGTTGTTGTGGTGGTGGTTGTTTGGCTTCTTTCAATTCTGATGCTGCACTGCTGCGTGCATGTGAACGGAATGAGTGTGTGTGTGTGCATGTCTACTTACTGGTTACAGCACCAGCTGCTCTTCTTATCGTGTAGCACACACATGGTGTGATATATTAGTGCGTTATCTACACTTACACTTTGAACTTCATGATTACAGTATGAAATGATGAGGTGATGAATAGTGTAGATGTTGTTGTATCGTTGTAGTTAAGTTGAGTTGGACTTTTGTTTTTGTGGTGTGGTGATCAATTGTGAAACATTGGAAATGTTTTAAGTTTCTGTCTTGTTCTTAGTAGTGTTTATGATGCTGTATGTGTAGCCCTTTCGATTACTGTCACTGATCATCTGGAATTTCGTGATCATTGCTTTTATCTTGATAATTTTTGCCCGCTGTCTTGATGACATGTTGGCTGTGTAATGTAGTTTGGTGTACTATGTGAAACTGCTGGAAAATGTATTAGTTCTACTAAGTGTCCATGTTATTTATGATAACGAAAATTAGTCGACTTGATGCTTCCTATGATACTCTGTTGTGTTGTAAACGCTGTCGATCCTCAGTTAATCGACTATTCTTCTCTGTAATGTTACTGTTATTCACTATGGATGGTAGTGTGTGGTGCCACAATTTGTTCAGTAGTGTGTCCAATAGTCAACATCTCTTTGAGTGTGGAAGTGTACGATGCATCTGAGGAAAAGAGGTGATCGGTACTGTCTCATCATTTTTAAAATCAATTTCATCCTGCGTGTCTCTTGCCGTTTGTGTGTATTCTGTAGCTTGATGCAGTGTGTTACAACTAGATACCCAGAACATTTCTTATACTAAATATCCTACGTTAACTTACTCTGATACAAAGCAAACACGTTGAAATTCGACTTTGCTGGAAACGACATTATCATTCATAGTTCGGTCATGTTAGATCATTAGTTACAAAGATAGAGTCTAAAGAGTGGTACCAATTGATGAATACCTGTCAACTGAAATGATATTGGTCGTAGTGCTGTTTAACGCCTACCTTACAGGTTATTGTGTGTTCGTTGAGAGGGATGTTCCGGAAATATATTGTTTACATGCAATTTTCATGTGATAACTAATTTCCAAGTTTCATTATCGATTGTATCATGAATGAGGGTGGGGGATTGTGTTTTCACACGGTTTATTGTAAAATGAGATCACATTGAAATGTGATGAATGACTGACCTTTACAACAATGAATAAGGATTAATTATATAATTAACTAGTTAGTGTATTCATTGGATGGATGAACATGCTGGACATTTGATTGTTGATATCTCCTTCCCGTCTTTTTGGTAGACATTCTATACAAATGTTCGTTTGTTCATTTCTCTTTTGCTTCACCATAGTTCTTACAAGAAAACAATTTGATCGACTACAGTCTTCTAATTGGTGTACATGATCCTGAGATTGCACGCAGTAGTTTAATTGAGAAGGCCGGTGGTGATGATGATGAAGGAACTGGCGGTTTGGTTGGAGGAGTGTTAGAGCCTAACAGTCGAGGTTTGGATGATAGAAAAGTGTCTTCAGGTGATGGTCTGGGAACACTTGCCTCACAATGGCAAAGTGGTCGTTTGTCAATGGCTAGATCGAGTATTGTACTTGGTCTGAGTCCAGATGCTGCGGAAGCTTCTAGTTGTGGTGTTGGTGTTGGGACTGGAAATGCGAGTACAGGTGATGATGATGACGAAGAGGAAGATGGGATCAGTATACCAGAGAATAATGCACATCAACTGCCATCAAGTATGTATGTTGTTAATTTTTGTGTGTGTTGATGATTTTGTTACATGTTAAACGTGTGGATTTTTTTATGGTGACTTACTGTTTGTGTCTGTTTATCATCGCGAGTGTCAGTCCACTGTTGAATTAAATGACTTGTTCGTTTTCAACTTGTACAGTATCGGAGACGAGACCTGTTTCGATCGAGGTATGCGTCTGAACCAGTCGTAATGTGATGAACTTGTCCGTATTATCGAGATGATAGTAGTATGTAATAGTAGAGTTTATTGATTGCATACGGTGGTACCTGTAGAGCTGATTTCGTGTGTCATATTTTCCAGGAGAATGTAAATGGTTATTTGGTCAACAAAGTTGCCTGAACATGTGCTATGTATGCATACGTAGACACTTGTTTAGGTGAGTAGTGCAAAATGCAACAATTTGATTGTCACAGCACAGTTTCACGAGATAACACATACTTGGTATGTTCATCTAAAATAAGCCTGAAAAAAGAAATTGACTGTTTTCATCCAGGCTTATAGTTGATACACATTTACCCGACTGATCATGTTTTATAAACTGTATAGTTGTCACTGTTGATATTGTTTACACACAGAATTCATTTATGGTTGACCATTCTGTCTTATCATCACCATTCGTGAAGATTAGAATTGTGATTGGACCTGTGAGATTTCGTTCATTATTCATGCAGTTTGTTTGACAAATGAATTCACAATCATGAAGTGTTCACCTACTTGATTTGTGTGCGTGTTTGCGTTTGTGTGTTGACGTGCAAGATTGAATAATGCTGTACACGTACACATGTACATACATCTGATGAACATGCCTAAGTGTATTGCAGTGAAATGTCATTGACTATTAGAAAGTAGGTAATTTTTTTATTGCAATGAATGTGTTTATGTGTGCTGGTGAAAGACGTTACTGCATTCTTGTTTACAAGTGGAGTTGTTTACTCACTACAAAGTGACTATGCTCATCACCGAACTTCTTCCTACTGTAGTGAAGTGACTCAATGGTCCCCTCTTATTTCATAGTTTCTGTGTATGTGTGTGTGTGAATGACAAGTACATTCCAAAAAGATCAATAGTTCTAAGCAAACGAAATGGTGGGATTGATTGACACATGAATCCATAGACTATTGGAGCAATGTGTGTGTTTGACTTAGAAAGACTCTTCTGTTTTGTCTCGCTTAGTGATCGTAACATGTAGTTGAATTATCTTGGTTGAGAAATTCATCTTTGTGGTCAACTCAGTAATAGTCATATTATCTGAATGAGGATGTTCAAGCGACTCGACTGAAAATCAATCTGCGGATAGCGATCTCGTCGATTGGTATGTTTGTTTATTTGCTTGTTGAAAATACTAGTTGCCCTCGTTCTCTATTCATCTTGTTCACATCGATTCTCATCATTGTCATGACGGATAAGTCGCGGCAACGTGAACTGATCATCATTCATGGTAGATGACGTACTGTACTACTGCATGTACATGATTGATTGATGTGAATGTGAATCACTTTTATCGACGAATCATTTTACAATTGTATACAAATCATTTAAGATGAACGAAGTTGTATCTGCATTGTTTGTGTATTGGATTCACTCTCTTCATGTACTTTCTCTTTCTCTCTCTCTCTGTGTGTCTCGTTTCAGGTGAATTAACTCCACCCGATAGTCCACCTGGTGTAGAATGTCTACCTCAATTATTCTCAGGTGAATTACATCCCACTATAGAACATTATGGAATTAATATTAATTCCATAATGTCTATAGTGGGATGTAATTCACCTGAGAATAATTGAGGTAGACATTCTACACCGGGTGGACTATCGGGTGGAGTTAATTCACCTGAAACGAGACACACAGAGAGAGAGAGAAAGAGAAAGTACATGAAGAGAGTGAATCAAATACACAAACAATGCAGATACAACTTCGTTCATCTTAAATGATTTGTATACAATTGTAAAATGATTCGTCGATAAAAGTGATTCACATTCACATCAATCAATCATGTACATGCAGTAGTACAGTACGTCATCTACCATGAATGATGATCAGTTCACGTTGCCGCGACTTATCCGTCATGACAATGATGAGAATCGATGTGAACAAGATGAATAGAGAACGAGGGCAACTAGTATTTTCAACAAGCAAATAAACAAACAGACCAATCGACGAGATCACCATCTGCAGATTGATTTCCATTCATGTCGTTTAAACATCCTCATTCACATAATATGACTATTACTGAGTTGGCCACAAAGATGAATTTCTCAACCAAGATAATTCAACTACATGTTACAATCACTAAGCGAGACAAAACTGAAGAGTCTTCTTCCGTGAAACACACATCGTTTCAACAATCGAAGGCTCCATGTGTCAATCAATCTCACCATGTCGTTCGCTTAGAACTATTGATCTTTCTGGAATGTACTTGTCATTCACGCACACACAGAAACTACGAAATATGAAGGGACCATTGAGTCACTTCACTTCAGTAGGAAGAAGTTCGATGATGAGCATAGTCACTTTGTAGTGAGTAAACAACTACACTTGTAAACAACAACTTGTAAGCAACATCTTTACCAGCAAAAACAATTACCTACTTTCTAATAGTCAATGACATTTCACTGCAATACACTTAGGCATGTTCATCAGATGTAAGTACATGTACACGTGTATAGCATGATTCAATCTTGCACGTCAACACACAAACGCAAACACGCACACCAATCAAGTAAGTGAGTACTTCATGATTGTGAATTCATTTGTCAAACAAACTGCATGAACAATGAACGCCATCTCACAGGTCTACGCACAATTCTAATCTTCACGAATAATGATGATCATCAAGATAAGATAGAATGGTCAACCATAAATGAATTCTGTATTTAAACAATATCAACAGTGACACCTATACAGTTTATGAAACATGATCAGTCGGGTAAATGTATATCACCGACAATCCTGGATGAAAACAGTCAATTTCTTCTTTCAGGCTTATTTTAGATGAACATACCAAGTATCCGTTATCTCGTGAAACTGTGTGCTGTGACAATCGAATTGTTGCACTTTGCACTACTCACCTAGACAAGTGTCTACGTATACATACATAGAACATGTTCACGCCACTTTGTTGACCAAATAACCATTTACATTCTCCTGGAAAATATGAAACATGAAATCAGCTCTACAGGTACCACCGTATGCATCACTAAACTTCACTATTACATACTACTATCATCTCGGTATTACGGACAAGTTCATCACATTACGACTGGTTCAGACGCATACCTCGATCGAAACAGGTCTCGTCTCTGATACTGCACAACTTGGATACAAAAAAGTCATTTAATTCCACAGTGAACTGACACTCGCGATGATAAACAGACACAAACAGTAAGTCATCATAGAAAAATCCACACCTTTAACATGTAACAAAATCATCAACACAAAAATATTAATAACATACATACTTGATGGCAGTTGATGTGCATTATTCTCTGGTATACTGATCCCATCTTCCTCTTCGTCATCATCATCACCTGTACTCGCATTTCCAGTCCCAACACCAACGCCGACACCAACACCACAACTAGAAGCTTCCGCAGCATCTGGACTCAGACCAAGTACAATACTCGATCTAGCCATCGACAAACGACCAGATTGCCATTGTGAGGCAAGTGTTCCCAGACCATCACCTGAAGACACTTTTCTATCATCCAAACCTCGACTGTTAGGCTCTAACACTCCTCCACCCGAACCGCCAGTACCTTCATCATCATCACCACCGGCCTTCTCAATTAAACCATTCCGTGCAATCTCAGGATCATGTACACCAATTAGAAGACTGTAGTCGATCAAATTGTTTTCTTGTAAGAACTATGGTGAAGCAAAAGAGAAATGAACAAACGAACATTTGTATAGAATGTCTACCAAAAAGACTGGAGGGAGATATCAACAATCAAATGTCCAGCATGTTCATCCATCCAATGAATACACTAACTAGTTAATTATATAATTAATCCTTATTCATTGTTGTAAAGGTCAGTCATTCATCACATTTCAATGTGATCTCATTTTACAATAAACCGTGTGAAAACACAATCCCCCACCCTCATTCATGATACAATCGATAATGAAATTTGGAAATTAGTTATCACATGAAAATTGCATGTAAACAATATATTTCCGGAACATCCCTCTCAACGAACACACAATAACCTGGAGGGTAGGCGTTAAACAGCACTACGACCAATATCATTTCAGTTGACAGGTATTCATCAATTGGTACCACTCTTTAGACTCTATCTTTGTAACTAATGATCTAACATGACCGAACTATGAATGATAATGTCGTTTCCAGCAAAGTCGAATTTCAACGTGTTTGCTTTGTATCTAAGTAAGTTAACGTAGGATATTTAGAATAAGAAATGTTCTGGGTATCTAGTTGTAACACACTGCATCAAGCTACAGAATACACACAAACGGCAAGAGACACGCAGGATGAAATTGATTTTAAAAATGATGAGACAGTACCGATCACCTCTTTTCCTCAGATGCATCGTACACTTCCACACTCAAAGAGATGTTGACTATTGGACACACTACTGAACAAATTGTGGCACCACACACTACCATCCATAGTGAATAACAGTAACATTACAGAGAAGAATAGTCGATTAACTGAGAATCGACTGCGTTTACAACACAATAGAGTATCATAGGAAGCATCAAGTCGACTAATTTTCGTTATCATGAATAACATGGACACTTAGTAGAACTAATACATTTTCCAGCAGTTTCACATAGTACACCAAACTACACTACACAGCCAACATGTCATCAAGACAGCGGGCAAAAATTATCAAGACAAAAGCAATCATCACGAAATTCCAGATGATCAGCGACAGTAATCGAAAGGGCTACACATACAGCATCATAAACACCACTAAAAACAAGATAGAAACTTAAAACATTCCCAGGGTTTCACAATGATCACCACACCACAAAAACAAAAGTCCAACTCAACTTAACTACAACGATACAACAACATCTACACTATTCATCATTTCATACTGTAATCATGAAGTTCAAAGTGTAAGTGTAAATAACGCACTAACATATCACACCATGTGTGTGCTACACGATAAGAAGAGCAGCTAGTGCTGTAACCAGTAAGTAGACATGCACACACACACATTTCGTTCACATGATCAATGCACGCAGCAGTGCAGCATCAGAATTGAAAGAAGACAAACAACCACAACAACAACAACAACAACAACAGAGGCGACAACAAACAAACTTTTCAAGGTTTCACTTAAATCACACGATGACGAAAATATGTTCACCTCATTAGTAGATTAATTGATATAGAGAAGCTGAATACTATAAAATGTCTCTCACATGATTAACAACACACCATTTCAACTATTGTACGACTACTACACAATGCACCTTCAATTGAGACACACTCGTCAGATCAAGGTCTCTCGTACTTCATTAGAACGAAATAAAATGTATGAAATGAACCTTGTCAAGAAGGTCATGCACCATAACATCACTTTCATTGATTAACAGTAACACATAACTATAAGTACAGTGTATACTCACACAAAGGACAAATTATTCTTAGCGGTAAATTTCCATCAGACAACACTGCAGGATCTTTAATAATAGTAGCAGTAAAAATAAGCTAATCACATCGCAAAAAAATACACCATGACCATTGGTACCAGTGATGAGGAAGGCACAGTCAATTTAAAGCTACTTTCAAGTGTGTAATTCACTGCTAACGATAACACAAAACATATTCACAGCATCTGTGGAAATCCAATGCATTCCGAGCTACAAATAACTGCTACTTCAAAGTGAACATAAGCACAACATGTGGTCTTATAGACAGTCAGTCGCTTACAACGTAGAACTTCGTATGTAGGTATGTACATCAGTTTTAAGTTGCCATACTACATTAGCACAGAGACGCTCTGGTCAGTTCAAATCCCATAGTGGTAGAGATAGTGTCAGTATTAGCGGTAATGGAGAAGATTAGAGTTTGAAGATGTTATTCAAGGAGTATAAACTAATAAAATAAATTTGAGAAGAGAAAGATGTAGGTTATGAGGAACTGAGGTTAGAATTTCAGAGAACGATTTTGAGCCATTTCGTTCAAGGTCTCTAACCATCGGTTACTCTTCATCTCCTGGACCCCAACCAAGTAGTCTACATCCAACAACACAACCCATTTCACTTGTCAGCGACTTGATGGATTTGTGCCATGTTTTAATTTGGCCGCCCCTAACTTTCTTCCAACCTACCACTACATCGCAAAACATCGTTTGTTCAGTTACGATTCAAACACGAAATCATCATACCAATAACATCGGCAAACTCGACACATTCACCAACACAATACCTAACAAGAAATTCGTCAATGAATGGACCCACAGAATGATTTAACTTCATTTCAAACTGGTGGTATACAAGATATAATAACTGTGAGACATCTTTTGAAAAGAAAAAACTACCATATGCTTGGAAAATTATTCCACAAAAGCATCAACCAATCAATGGTAACACATACATGCATCAGTCAATCAATCAATCTATCAATCAACCAACCAATCACTTACTTGTATATCACATTCCAGTGTATTTAACACCTTCTTCTTAGATTCTTCACCAATATGTATTTTGCATAAATCTGTCAGGAAATCTGCATCTTTCAATGTGGGCAAAGGTTTCGACTATACGACAATAATAACAAGAATAACAAACCACAATTAATCAGAAAACCACAAAAACATGAGAAACGATGAAAAATATGCTGAGGCAAAACTGATTCACTGTATGAGTTGGTTACATTGACGCTGATCATTTCTTCTTATTGACTCACTGTGGTCACTTATATGTACAGGTAGTGTAGCAGCTTGATCGGTCACTTTCTCCAACAAACGAAACTTTTCACAACTTCATAGTGAAAACTTACCATCACGGTGTCATTGACATGCATGCCAGTGATTCAGAGTAGCATAGATAACAACCACAGGTTGACTCATCAAGACACTGAGAGCTGTTGATTTAGAGATTACAAATGTTGAGATGTATGCATTCTATGGGAATATCAAATAAAAATTGGATAGAACTGGAAAGGGTGGTTCATGACAGAGTAGGTTGATGAATACTGCTCAGCAGCCAATGCTCCATTGGGGGTAACAGGAGTAAGTAAGCAAGTAAGTAAACCGGTGATTCATGTTACACGAGAATAGAACTCTTGCATGGTTGACAACATGTGGAAGGAAATCAGAGAGTTAAATAGCTATGATGGTCATTTTAAGTTGAGAGAAAACCAAAACCATGTTAAATAATGTCTGATTTGGCAACGCGGAATAAATTTTAATATATCAGTCCATTTGATCCATTCACAAGAAGAATGATTTCTGTGCATATAAGTAATGCTGTCACAAAAACTATCTACAATCCATAATCGCCACTTTGACTGAGACATCATTTCATAACACTCATCAATAACTAACAAATACAACTGGCTCAATGAACAAGCTTAATTTAAGCCTGCTTCAAACTAAGGTTAACACAACCATATCAAAACACGGTATTACAATTCCCATCGTCAAGAACACTCTCTGAGTTGGATGTTTTGACTGAGGAGCTTTCATTAATCTTCATCATCACAAACTTCAGGTAGAAGTGAAGTATTCAAATTTTCTCCATGTATGATTCGTAGCTCGTCCTGTTGACACCGATCTTGAGTGGTTGTTATTGCCTTTACACCTGCCATGGTCTACCTACCTGCCGTAGTCTGCCTCTTTATTATCTTGATTGTATCCCCGTGTAATTCGTTTTTTGATCCTATGTTTGTCCATGAATTTTTTGATTGGTTGAAAAATCGGTTTCATATCAACGTGTTTGCTGATTGACTTGAGTACCAAGCATCCAACAATTCACCACATATCAAGATTGAGGCCAACAGCACAAGCTATGAGTCATACACGGAGAAATTCGAATACTTTACTTCGTAACCTGAAATTCGCGTTGACGATGTAGTTGTTCAGAAGAACAATGAAAACTCCTCAATCAAAACATCTAGCTCAGAGAACGAAACTCCACTAAAATCATTCACCCGAGGTTCAAACTTTCTCCACCGTCCTAACAAAAACATTCATAACACTTGTTGGTTCCAAAAATCCCAGTTAGCTAAACGAGTCAAGAAGTGAGTGGCACACTATTTTCACAGTACCATGTTCTCACACTTAACACAGACTGGTAACTAAACATTCAACCATGAAATCATATCCAAACAAAACTAGTCTCATTAGTCACAACCATCTAAAGTCAACCAACAGACACCAGGGACTTCCACACGTCCATAAGACACACATGTCGTGCATGCACCAACACAAAACACAATCAATCATTGTCAATCACAAACTCATTTAAAATTATCTGCATACAATTCATAAAAAGCTAATGTGTATTTCTCTCTGCAAAATTGATCACATTGCTATTTATAGATGATCATAGTAGAGACAGAAAAAAAATAATCAGGTCAATTTAAGGACAAAAATAATTCGATACATATGATCATCTTACTACTACTACGACTACTACTCAGTTAGTTAATTACATTTGACAATTGTAGACAAATCAAATTATTCCAGTAAACTATGAGATTTCGTTACCATAGTCTAATCAGACAAAATATGCTGTATATAACCTCATTTCAAATCGACTGATACTAATTTCCATAGCAAGTATCAACTCTCATTGGTGTACGGTTGTTTAACAGAAACTTATTAAGGATAGTTATTGCACTCAGAGTAGCTCATTAGGACATCGAGAGATGTTGATTTAGAGAGATCACAAAAGTTGGGATATACGAATTCTATGGGAATATCGAACAATCAAACAGAATGAAATTCTCATTTTATGACTATATTACTCATTAGTAATCGGGGTTCGCTCGCTCATTCATCTCGTATCTCATTGGTTGGCATAAACAGACATTTTGAACTCGTCATTTTGTGTTGGCTTGTTTATCGATTGACTATTGTTATTGTGTCATCCACTTTGATTGTAATTACGAATTACAGTGACATTATGCAAATAACCAAGACAGACTTTTGACTTGATTATACGCCAGGTGCATTATTCCATTGAATCAGACAAAGTACATCCGTCATATTCTAGACTGCCTTAATGAATAAATATATATTTAACAGACTAATTCATAGAAGCCACCATCTAGCATGGTTTGTAATAATCGAGGTATAAAAGTAACAAAGGAACATAAGCCAGTTTATTTTTTGAAACATTTAGTGATAAATGAAGAATATTGATCAATTCTTAACAATGGAATTTGACATTTACACCGACAAAGAACAATAATTCAACCAGTTAATTCTGGAAACAAAGAAAAGGGTCACAGATGACGTTCAAAGAGTGAGTGGTGAGTATGCTATAGTTTTCTTATCCTATCTGCACTTCCATTCACGTCGATTGTCTTTAATATATAAGCCAACATATTCAGTCGATAGCGATATCCAAACAAAATTGATCACTCGGCATAGACATCAAATAAAATCTATCCCCTAGTCTTTTCAATACTCTCTAATTCAATGTCAACCACACACAATCATGTGAAACAGTAAAACACCATGTTCTGTTCTGAATTAACCAGTTTCCTCGAAGAACAAAGTCGAACCGACTCACTAATCTACAAGGACCGATCCACACGGAAAATATTATCGCACAATACACACAAATGCCACACAATAAATTTACCATTTGCGATAAAAAACAAAACATGAAAAGATGATTCGCAATTTCCTTTGAATTCAAAGTATTAAACTGCCTGTCTCTCGTCTACAGCAGGAAACGAATAACTCAGTCACGTCAGTTCTCTTCTCTCTACGGAAATACATCACAACTCGCTGTTCGCTATCTCCGAACGATGCAGATAAGCCCAAATGTTTACCAATAACAAAATGTAATCTGTATGTACTTCACAATACCAAAACAGTCCAACAATTAGATTTTCTTGTTGATGCACACACATTCTTATATTGTTTATGAAATGTTGTAATCAGTGGCATACACATCACATGTTGTACATTATAATTGAAAATTAAAACAAATTAAAACAAAATAAAATTCACACCTTCAATGGAATTCAATAAAACAACATGATGATGATCACCATTATCCGCATTCACCACAATGTAAAACAATTTTAAAACAGAATTAGGCGGGGAAGACATGTTTCTGACATTTATGTTTGAACACGGACACACATTTAAACAAACACACACACACACGAACACGATGAAATGAAGTGCGCGCACAAACACACACACACACACGAACACACAGCGAGGAGGTGAACAATGGCGTAAAAGAGGAAAAATGATGGTGCATAGATGTTACACACGCAGAGAGAGAGAGAGATGTGCACAAAATTAGGGCATGCACATTGATGTTGTGTATATAACAATCATGCATATTTTTTGTACAACTATAAGTGCAGCAGAGCAAGTACCCTTATGTTGTACGTTACGGATAAATAAATTTCATGCACTTAGTTATTATCATTGTAGTAGTAGTAAGATAAGATTACTACAAACCCAACATAATATACACTTTACTCAGGCCTACAGTGTATTCGATCGGTCCAATGTTGGTATGCAAGTAGTTACGTGGTGAGGTTTACAGAGCCAAGTGAGTGATATACGCTTAAAGATTAGAAAAAGATTGTTTCGTGTATTGTCAAGTCCCATTATACAAATTTTCATACTATTACCCATAAACAAGTTGTACAAATATCAGTTTATGACTGGAATATGGTTCTTTAACACATTCGGTAATATACACAAATATATGAACATTATGAGTCGATCATTGTGAGATCACTATTCGAAACCTGGAAGCACTGAACAGCCGTTTCGTCCTAGTATAGGACTCATCGGCATCGCGCATCCACGACCCCAGCTCACGCAAGTCGAACCCAGGACCTACAGTCTCACGCGCGAATGTTCAACCTCTACGCCACAGCCGGCAACGAACGGTAGTTTAGAACCTAACCTTAACATTTCTGCATTACAGCTGATTTCAGCTGATAACAGGAACTCTACACAGAGCAATAAACCTAACTCATAACACTAGCCTGACTTCGAATCGATGAACCTGGCCTTTTCCTTCCATTAGAAAGAATAATTCGACATTATGGCGTTGATTACTCATTTCAAAGTCATTTCTCACTGATATATTACTGCTATCAGTAGTTTTATATAACTGAACAGCTGCTAGGTCGCTCAAGGTCGTCAGTATATGATGTGTTCACCTGTGCACTAACATCATCTAAGCGTACAGATCAAAATCAGTGTTCACCTCAATCTTTTCCACACAAAAATATAAACAATCAGTTTAGACAGTCAGCAAAACTACGGACAATGATAGTATAGCTAATTGATCATGCCACCGACCTTCACAACTATGTGTACACTATGCTTAATGAGCAAAATAAACAGAAATAGAGCGATTTTATTTTAAGAAAGTATGTTTGAATATTTATCACGACAAGCATCAACCACAACAGGTAGACATGTGTTTCAGATGTTTATATGATGATAACTGCACAGCACAGAGAAAGAGCAAGTACGTACACGTTTACCTGACACACACTGAAAACTAATTCACAACTACATCGCATGCAAACACTGGAAAGCAGCTGATATATGACACAGACATTACATATCATAACAATGAAAACATGTTGTAAGCTCACCTTTTCTTTCTCGTTTGCTTCACGATCCACTGCTGAGCCCTAATTACACAAGGATAATGACATAGTCAGTGTGTTTGGAGGACCAACTCATTAAGTCGGTGGAGGCTAAATTAAAACAAAACCCTATTCATTAGATGATGAGGACAGTCTCAAAACAATAGTCCACACAAATGAGTGGTAGCCATTACAGGGACGCGAACAGTAGTTGACACCTACAGGTCCATGTGTCAATATGCATGGGTAAAATTAATTATCGATTGATAGTTTTCGCTGCAAACAGAACTATTTACACATGGAAGGCAATGATTGATAAATTCCCATAAAAATAGAGATTTGTGACTGTTTTTCAGGATGTTGAAATCATTAAAACCATGTAGAAATATGAAATCTTTTCTTGAAAATGAGTTCAATTCACCTGTCAAGCAGTACAGCATACCTGTATTCTCATTTCTAAGTCAAACGCATTCCGTGACAATAAAATAACACCTGACTATCATAACCAAGGTACAATACAAGATATAACCGAGATCTAATGGTTAAACACAACAACTGTTGTACACATGTTTAGTCAATGTCTAATCTCTTATTGACTGAGATTATTCTTCATAACTTGTTCGCCTAAGCTTGCAGCTAGTAATTTGCATCCCAGTGTAAAGTTCCCAGTAAAAATTCCGAAATAACAATACATAAGTTGTTTCGACTACATAGGTAGATCCCAGCAGATCATCCAGATAATGTCTACAAGTTAGACCTGTGGAGTCACAAGGGAAGTGGATCAGTGAATGTCAAATGACCCAATAAATGTGGGAAACAGAAAACCATGTTTATCAATAGCAAAACATATCGAAACGGGGGATAAGATTGAAGTCAAGACAACTTTTAAAGCATTGTATAGGAATGTTCAAGGGCAAATTCTAAAGTTTATAGAAGGTTGGGCTATTCTTAAATTCAAACGCACCTTATATGTATGTAAACAATTTGTCACCATAAACTTGAATTTACCCTCTTAAAGTTATTTTTATAGCCCAGATTAATGTGACAATTTCCTAATTTTTCCATACTCTGTTAATTTTCTCTCTCTCCCTTATTTACAATTATCACCTTATGTTTATTTGAACTCCGATTCAAATGACCTCTTATTAATTTTCATATAAAAGGATTTAACAAGTAAATGTTTGACCAGATTGATCGAACTATGTATCAGTCAATCAGGCTGTGAGTTACAAAGTAGAACTTCATACCAGTCGAAATATGTCTTCTTCTCGTTCCAACCAAATTTATAAAACAGTCCCTTAGTTAAAACATAGAATATCGTACGCACGTAAATCAGTTCAATCTGCCATACCACACTAGCACAGAGACCGTATTGTCAATAAAAATTCCATAGTAGTAGAGGTAGCAGAAGTATTATCAGTAATGGAGAAGATTAGGATTCGATGATACTATTCAAGAAGTAGAATCTACTGAAATAAACTTAAAAACGAAAAAGATAAAGTTATGAAGAATTCAGAATACTGGAATTTGAGAAGACACAAAGAATAAATGAACTTGCGCCACTACAAACAATTTTGAGTCATGTCATTCAAGGTCTCTAATCATCGAGTACTATCATCTCGTTGATCCCAACACGACTCAACCCATTTGTCAGTGAATCCATGGATTTGTGCCATGTTTTGGTTTGGCCACCTCTAGGACATAACAGACTGTATATCGGGATCCAGTCTAAGCTTGTGTTATAATGGCTACCATAGAAGTAAGCCGCATCGGATGCCCATATACCAAACACAATTCATTTCTTTTCGCTACTTAAAACACATGTCATTTGTTAACAATCCACAATGGCTGAATTATCCAGTCAGTTAGTTAGTTAGTCCGTTTTCGCTGGCTAACTTATTCGCCACTCCCCACGTACAACTGATATCATTCACTAAATGAAATAAACCAAAGAACAAAAAACCAACCACTTGTTAGGCGTTAGCTGAATTACACAAAAACACTTGTGAAATGCTGTTAGCGTGCACAAATTGAAAACATCAAAGCACTGAATGTGTTCACACTGCACAGTGAACACACGCACGCACACACTTTGACAGAATATGAATAGTTAGTCACCGGATACATTGTTCACCGACTGACGGATCTCAACTATGTGTAAAGAATAACTTTGCAGTGTACAAGACACTGACAACTTAAATGGCTTTTCCCATTTCGTTACACACCCAATCACCAATATAAACACAATCTGTTGAACAAAATCACAAAAGCGTTTGGTTAGGCCATTGTGAGTAACACACTTCACACCGTCATTGGGGTGCAAACGAGAGAGCAATTAATTCAATGGTTAGTGGTAGGTGGATGCATGCGTAAAATTACAATTACATGACATACACCTGTGGTATTGTGAAATGAATACTTTTTGTGCCGCAGACGACGTTCATGCTCTTTGTTTAAAACTGTCACAGTCTTATCAATGATGGCGTCACAACTGGATAAGTGAGTCGGTCCACGGGCGACCATTGAATGAATACTTACAGAACGTTTCGCCAGATGACTTGAATACACAACATTCTAGGGAGTGAAAATGTAAAAGGCACAAAACATTGTATTGCCATCATCAAAAGTCACCACATGAAGTCCAGTCACATTCTTAGAATTCACGTACATGAAATCACTAGATAATTACCTTTAAATCATATTTCTTATGAATTGCAAGTCTTGGACTGAACACATTTCGCATTACTAATATGTACGTCTCCTGATCATTCACTGTAAGTCGATAAAGACCAAGAAATTGAGGAAGCAATGTTTCACCGTGTCCTTTGACAATATACTTCAAAAGAGAGAGAAAGAGAAAGACAGTGACAGATAGGAACGCATTGGAAGTTAACAATCAACCAGGTGACACATCAATAACAAAAGGCGGTGAAAATTCGAATCACATTGAGCAGTCACACCAGTTCAACAATTGATTGTTAGATACTTTGATATTACTGCAAAGCAAGTGGTTTTCTTAATGCACACTGGAATCATCTGGTTGACACATAGCCCAATAACAATGGTGCATTTTGGTCAACTGACAGCAGCACTTACTGACAATGTTTACATTCCATCCAATATAACAATGCACATAACACAAGAGTCTTTAATTTCTTCACGATATTAACATTTAATTCATAAACGTGATACACTATTCAACATACTCAACATCATGTAGACGACAATTACTCACCAAAGTTCACTTTATTAACACTTCCAGGAGACCAACATATCTTGAATCGATGCACATGTGTGCCAGCTTCTACTCTGCATCTAACTGACTGGTTAACCGTCTGTTCTCACTGTCAATGTGGTTAGTATATTGTTTGGATGTAGGATAAGTAAAAGCTCATAAAACTAGCACAGTGAAAACTTGAATTTATACAATGTGGTTGGAAGATTAATTGTCTAATGTCAAGTCAACAAAAAACGGTTTCTTACTGACAAAATGCACAAACTAGTGGCCTCAATAATTCACATTTTGTGGCATTTATGCAAGCATAGTCAATGCCTATCAATCAAAATAATCATCACTGTGACCAAATGACACGACAAGTAAACATCACTCTTACACTTTTATCGACTCTGTCTATCAACTTTATATTGTTACACTATAGCACATAACTTCAACGAAACAATCCAGTCAGTTGGACAAGGAAATGGAACAAATAGTAAGCTATTTATTTTCATTATCAACCAACAATGATTAGTTATAAATAAATATAAAGAGATATTCACTTGGTCAACACTAACTATTCTCACACACAACACAACCAATATAAGCTCAAAGAGCCTTTAACGTATCTGCGATACATATTACTATTACCAGCTTACCTAATGTGAAATATGTACAGTCACAGTTTGATTTCATAATAACTATATTCATTCAGATCTGGTACATGTGTAATGATGCTAGAACGCAGTTGTGAAATACAGAACAAGGGAGAATCTATTCATGCGATGACTTTATAGGCATTTGAAAAAGCAGAAATATAATTATAAAACCATTCATAGTTCAGATTTTACGATAATATCGACCTACAAGAGTTCAACGAATGATCACCTTGTAGTTGAATCATCATTTGGCAAACAATTTATTATACTTAATCAGTTCCACAAGTAACTCATCAATGTGTGTTTTGCAAATTTTCTGACATGAAGTTCGTTTCAAGTGGAATAACATATTGGAACATTTCACCAATCAGTAAGTAACCACTGGTTTCGATCACAGAAGAAAACAATGACTTCCTACCTAGTTAGAGTTAACTGACGTCTACAGATTATCAGAATTTATTGAATGTAAACTGACACGATGACACGCATACCACGGTTGGTTCTGCTGATAGGAATTTATTCAACTTTTAACTGCATGTATCATCGTATGCTGTTACGAGTATGAGGGCGGTTGTCACTTCCCGGATGCCCACACCGTGGAAGGTTGTTTCTTGAGGAACCTGAAAAGGAAGGTAGATTAGCGTTGGTCTGAACGACCTGCGAGCGCGACCGCAGAGTCCAAGGGACAACTGCTTGAGGCCGGTCACGCACTGCCTTTTTATGAGAAGTTTTTTGAGTGTTAGCTCCGCTCTTGAAAGCCCTTAGTGGGCACCCTTACCCAAGGAGACGGAAATCCATGAGGTAGGGTGAGGTGTGATATTTTTAGGGTCGACCCTTTCTAACCCTTCCTTCCTTGTGAGAAAGCAGCAGCATCGCTGCAGATGCTGATTGTCCGAGATAAACAACTTACCCTCTGCAGTCAGCAGTACGACTTCGCCCTCAGACCTTGGGTAGCTGCTTTTGGTCTCATCGTTCTCCAATAGACCTGCCTGGCATGGTAGAACCTTCAGGCACATAAGTTATAGCCAATATAGCTCGGCTGGGTCATCACGATAGGCAAGCCTGACTACCACGTCAAGGGCATAAATTATCTCATCCTAACTATGTGCAATGATCGAAACCAGTATAGTTTCACATTAGATTGAGACAAATCAAATCATCCACTCTCTAGTTTAATCTAATAAAACTTACCGAATAATATTCTTCTAACATTTGATGCATTTGTTCAACTTCTTCTGAACTGATTGTTTTTGCCACAAATTGTCGGTTATAAGTGACTAGAAATTTTGATCCAGATTTCCCACGTGTACTATCCCATAATGGTTGATGTCTGGTGAAAGAGTCCTAAAGTAGAGAGATCATAAAACCAACGATCTTGTATCATGATATACAATAACTAGACGTAATCTATTCATGAGGACTGTTCGTGATGACTATTCAGGAATTGGTCACTTGTTGAAAAGAAATCCAAACAGTACACTTTTGTAGTAAATACAAACCGTCATGAAATACTAGATTCGCCAACATGGTTCAATCTGAAATTGAATATTTACTATGCTCTGGTTCAATCGACATTCAACTTGTATTACGTAATACATAACTAGAGGCCAAATAAAAAGAATAGTTTACTGACTTCACCGTGTGCCAAGTGGTCCATCCTTAAGGTAACCTATTTACACTAGTGAGCATCTGAACACATAGCCAATGCAGTTGACACATAAACCGATGAACATTAGTTAACATTCTGTAATTAAATACTTCATGAACAGGTTAATATGACTTCTATGTAGACAGCTAACAATCAACATCTCAGCTAAATATCTTCAGGTTCAAATCATTTGCTTTTCACTATCATTTAGTTTGTAAATATGAGACGGGACACTTACAGTCTGACGATGATAGTTGTATGATGTTAAATTCAGTCAATCAAATGTTGGACACAATCAGTCTACCAACTTCGTGCTAACATCATCAAAGAAGACAACTCGTACGAAAGAGACAAAGGAAATCATTATCAGGTAATTTTCAAACACACTACATACTGTACTGTCGGTTGACACAAACACGGAGTAGAATTTGCTAAATAATACTGGGGATCAGAGAATATATTGAGCACTTTCAAAAGAGTGTGGACAATATTCACCATGGATTATTATAGATTGATAACCATGTAGTTGGTGAAACAGTAATTAAGCAACTGTCTAACTGTTTCAATCGTTGTTTCGAAATACCATCTGATTGTGTGAACCGATGTAGATGGTGTGGAGTTCGAACTTACAACTCTGTAGTTAGATGCTCTAATCAATGAAGCACAACTAGAAATCCATTGTCACATAGGGATATCTGAGGGGGAACGTTTCATAATACGGACTGGTAGTGCTTGCCACCTATCTGGCTGAAATCAACAAGGTGAGAGTATCAATACCTTGAAACTCTTCACTATATCCAATATTCAGCATGGATTATTATAGAATGATAACCATGCAGTAGAAGAAACGGTAATAAGGCAACTGTCTAACCGATGCAATCGTTGTTTCACTCCAAAATCGTAACTTTATTTTAAACAAAACTTTGTCTATACACAGCGACTAATAATCCATGCAACTCGGCAACTGATTACTAGGGTGTGTTCTCAACATCTAGCGGCATTTGTTCTCCAGTGGATTGGAATACCATCGAAGTAGATGGTATGGAGTTCGAACTCACAACTCTGTAGTTAGACGCTCTAATCAATGAAGCACAACTACAAATCCATTGTCACATAGGGATATCTGCGGGGGAATAAGGATACAACTTATAAAATTCAGTGTCTGTCACCCATCAGGTAAGAATATCGATATCTAGAGCCCCTCGCTATATCCAAGACTTCTATGAAAAACCACTCAAAATTTCTAACACGAACTTAGTAAACAATTAAGTATCAGCCAAAACTCAGTATACACAAGGTGTAAACTATTCACATCAATCAGTGGGTACACGGTAGACTTTCTATCAATACACACACAAGTCAGCTATAAATCACCTACCCAATAATCCATCTTATTAACTCCAAATCGATCTCGTAACGATTTGAACACCATTGGACAGTATTCTTTAAACTTGAATCTACTCGGCATATTCTCTCTAATAATCATACATATATATATATCAGTATAAGTTCATCTTTACTTGTTAAACGAGTGATTATTAACTTTCACTTTGATGTAGGCTTTAAAATCATCTTTCAATAATAATGCACGTTGTTTTACATGATTCAAAGCAGAAAATGAATAATTTATGCCCCACATTAATACACTTTTCAATGGTTCATTAGCTCGAAATAATTTCAATTTCTGTTTCATAATTCTCACTTTCTTGTGTTTTGATATAGTGGCCATTTGTTGAAAATGAGTAATAATTTAATGATTCCAAGGATTTCTAGAAAAAACATAAGAAATGAATAGGTTAATACTCACACATATATAGTTAGGATATGCTGACAAGTGGATTGAGTTATGTTGGTAGATGTAGACTACGTGGTTGGGGTCCGCGAGACGAAAGTCACTGATGGTTAGAAACGTTGAATGACAATGGCTCAGAATCGTTTACAATGACGCAGGTGCATCCACTCTTTGTGTTCTATCAAATTCTCACCTGAATTCCTCATAATGTCGATCTTTCTTCTGAATCGACCTCACTGAATTATACTTTTCGAATCATATCTTCTCTCCCTAATCTTCTCCATTCCTGTTAATACTTCTACTATCGCTATGATTCCTGGATTTGAACTGACAGTTGCGTCTCTGTGCTGATGTGTTATGGTAACCTGAACTGATGTACTTACGTACGAAGTTCTGCGTTGTATCTGTCGTCGTAAACTAATAGGTTGACTTATTTCATTTCACTAAACTGGAGACTGAAAAATTGTTTTCCATTTTTAATGCTAATGAGTGCAGTCTATTAATGCTACAGTGTTGCTAGTAACAAGACTGGAAGAAATTATTTGTGAAGGCAGGGAGATCATAGCATGAAGTCGTGAGGTCAACTCCTATTACCACAGAATACAGTATCTATAAAAACTAAATACATCAAAAATTTGTCTTTTTTCAGAATCCGATTCGTTTTTGTTAAACCAAACAAAGCAGCTTGCTTCATGTGAGTCATGTTTAGTGATAATATCAGATCTATATTGAGTGTGCTGAGTCTTCTAACTCTGTGAAAGTCCTAGAAAACTTAGTGTAACTTTGAGAAAATCTCTAGGCAAAACCAAAATCAAATACAGTGTATTCAATATCGTATCTCAATAAGGAGAGCAGGTTTGCATTTTGCAAGACTGACTTAGTGAATTAGTTTAAACTAGATGCTAGACAACTATTTATCTGTCACACTACGAGATGTGGAGATATAAAGTGAGAAAGAAATTCCCGAAAACTTTCACGAATGACAATCTATTTAAAAAGAAATGCCTCATCCTTTATACATCGTCTCAGTATAACTTTTCCAGTTAACATTTTGTCTTTGATTATGGCCTAAGAATAGCTTAAAACTTGGTCTGACAATGATATAATATACTGAAGACCTTGAGCGATTCGAGAAACTTTGGCCAGTTATAAAACAAACAAAAACTATTAGCCATAATATTTCAGTGTAAAAACAGCTTTGAAATGAATGATTATCTCTTTAATGTTGAATTATTGTTTCCAGTCGAAAGAAAAGGCTAAGTTCACCGATTAAAAGTCAGGTTAATGTTATGAGTTAGGGTTATCATTCCATATAGAGCTCCAAACATCAACTGAGACCAGCTGTGATGCGGAATTTAAGAACTCAATTTTAAAAGTTAAGCTGGCATTCTCAGTTCCGTTTTTCAAATTAGAGTTCGGCATTTGATCGTTAACTGACATCAGCTACAGTACAATGGTCTGTGATCCTAATGAGTACGAACTCCATAGACTTATGGTTGAGATTCTGTATAAGACTTGAAAAGGAGGATATCATCTATTTTCACTGACTATTCTTGACAATGTACTGAGTCTTGAACAGTACTTTGACAGTCGATTTGCTCTGAGAGTGGTTATGCTTGATAATTTAGCTCAAACACCGTTTTTAGTATACTTTCTACTTTAAAATAAAGACTCACAGTAATTTTATAAATTTTAAGTATCAAATCTTGCTATTGTTTACCTTGTTAACAAAGGCATACAGGTTATCTATCTGCTGCACTTTAAATTTAGCGCAGAATACCTGAGGCGTTATCTTAATTCTGATTGGTCTACTCAAGGCCTTCTGTATATTATACTTTGACCAATAAAACTAAATAACACTACGGATCGACCGGATTGAAGGAATAGTTTGAAACGTGAAGTACTAAGACTGAACAACGCATGTAATAGGTGGGATCATGCGAGGTAATGTAGGTTCATTGTACTCCTGACCACCCAAATAAACCTGTTAGGGTCATTTCAAGACTATAAAACTGTAAATAAGTCCTAAGCATAATTATCCAGTTCTTAACAGTACAGCTTCTGACGCATATCTGGTTTACTTTATTTGCATAGCCGGTTGAAGACGTGGTCTGCCACTGAATCTGATAGAAGTGCGTAGCTAAATATGTTAATGCGTGTCTTCGAAATTTCAAGTATCAAATGACATTTGGACAACTTGTTTATGACTAGTAGTACAAACATTTGTATGATGGGACTCAACAACAGAGGAGACGGTGTTTTGTTGAACGTTAAGAGTGTCTTTCACTTGGGATTGTAGAACTAACGATGGAACTGCTCACATACAAACTAAGCACCAATTAAATAGACTGTAGGCCTGATTATAGTGTATATTATGGCAAAAATGCAGACTATCAAACATAAAGTTTGCAGTTTGGATATTTCTGTCTAACAGTCTATAACCGTCAACCAATTACTGTTGAATTTCACCAATAACGTGATTAACAAAGAGGTTAAGACTAGAAGGAAAAATCAGTCTGCTGAAAGAGGACACGGTTTGCCACCGAAATGTGCCCACACCGAATCTAATAATGCTTCTGGAATATTACCTGACTACTGAGAATGCAGTTTGTTTAGTTGGAAGACAAAGTATTTCAGTGGACTTATAATCCAGATGCCAAGTTGCTGCAGTTAAGATATAGCAGTCACAGAGTTGCATGAAAACTTATCCTGTAGTGGAGTCTGAGTGAGAACAAGATGGTTAGTGTTATGATGTTAGGCGTCCGAAATCTGAGAGTGGTATGCACAAATCCCCTCAAACTGGATACTTCGGCGAGAATGTATGAACTTTAGGGAAAGTCAAAAACAAATATATATATATATATTCCATCCGCCTAGAAAATAAACCTTATTCTTGAACAGTGGTGTTCATTCGTACTTTAGGACCATTCTGATGGTCATCAAGTGGCCTTCTGATGTGGGCTTTTTCGAATAGCTTACTACATGAGTTGTGATGAGAATGTACTGTTTGTGTGTGCTTCATTTCAATGTGTTCGTGTGTTTTCGGATGTGTATGTGCAAACATAAATGTCAGAAAACTGTCTCCTCTAACTCACTGTAAAACTGCTCACATTGTGATGAATGATGATAATCATGTTGTGCGTTGAATCCAATCGAATGTGTTAGTTTTGTTTGTATCGAGTGACACTGCGGTGTTCTTCAGGTTAGTACATACCTTTTTTGTCTTTAATTTGATAAAAAGTTTTATTTTGACTGCATATTATGGTGAATTAATTAAAGTTCAGTGTACGAATCATAAGATAATACAAGTAAGACCTCTAAATTCTTCAAGACTATGATCAGCTAAATAGTATCAAAATATTTTACATTACGAACGAAGGATGTGTGAAATTGTTCCAAGAATTAAGACGTTTCAATTAGATGGGATCACGTAGTAGTTGCCGTTAGTTGTCTTAAATTTTATTCTATAACATACAACACTTAACTAATGTACACAGTACTCCCTTCAGAAACTGTTTATATTAAGAAGTGAGATAAAAAAAAAGCCGAGCACATGTGGAAGGTCTCTGTTAAGGAATTCGACTGTAGTTCTCATTCGGCATTGAGAAACAACTGCAATGGCAAGGTTGGAAGCGAAAGAAGACACTCGTAAATGAAGCTAACTGTCAAAATACAGGCCAACCAAGAATATCTATTCAGATTTATGACTAAAAGAACCTGCGAACTAGGGTATTGTGCCCTTTTGGTCCAAAATGGTGATTTTACTTACCTAGAGATGGTTGAGATCTTCAATGCTAACTCACTGACCAGTTAAACCAAGGACAAAAGCTCAGAAAAATCCTCAAATCCAGTGTCAGCTGATGTGCTGACGAATGTCACGACTGTGTACAGGTAAAACTAAAGTTCCGGTGCCCACGAAAGCATCCAGGGGGTGAAAACATTCCCCGAATAATCTTGAAACAGTGTGCAGAAAAAATTGATTTACCAGCACATGACCTATTCAGGCATTCAAACGAGTCACACCAACTACCAGAAGAACAGAAAGAGGCCGCTGTCTCTAATCTTTAAGGAAGGAGATAAAAAGGATCTAGCCTGTTACTGGACAGTTGAATTACTACCAATTTTGTTTAAGATAATTGAAGGAATGGCGAACGAGCAAATGAGAAAGTACATGGTTAAAAACAACACAGGCTTATGGAAAGCAATTTATGTGCATCCAAACTCATAGCATGAGACAGCTGGAAAACCTGCTGGGAGCAAAAAATACCGTTTTATATAATATACCATGATCTTGATTAGGCTTCGAATACAGTACCACTTACATTATTAATAATGAGCGTAGCGAAGATGAGCTTCACTGGGCCATTTCTATTTGCCTTTGAAACTAACTTGAGAACAGGACGTTTTGTGCCTAGGTAAATAGTGGCACAAGCTCACGAGTCCCAACATCAGGAATTTAGCAGAAAACAATATTAGATACACCCCTCTTCCTGATACTCATCAGCGACTTTCTAAACAAGATAGGCTCGACGGCATCAGTGTATGCAGACGACGCAATGATCTGGAGGTCTATAATAAGAGATGAGGAATTAAACGAACTCCAAACGAGTATTACATCGATTGAGGATAGGTAGTAATAATAATAGTAATTTCTTCTCAACATTTTATAAGAGGCATGCCAATTTACAAGCTAGATTAAAATATTAAAACGGCTAACATATTTTCTGTAAAAGGCTGTTCAGTTACTGAAATATTTCATAAGGTATATTTACATTAAATAGATGGCCAAAATTTTCCACATAAGTTTATAGATAACGTTTCAAACTCGGCAATGTACGATGCGATATGTGTCACGAGTGACGACAGGTACATTACGACAAACCACTGATGGTTGAGAACCAATGTAAGGTAAATCCAGGTCGGTATTCAATAAGAAC